GATGACAAACCTTGACAGCATCTTAAAAAGCAGAGACATCACCTTGCCGACAAAGATCTGCATAGTCAAAACTATGGTTTTTCCAGTAGCGATGTATGGAAGTGAGAGCTGGACCATAAAGAAGGCTGACCGCTGAAGAATTGATGCTTTGGAATTGTGGTGCTGGAGGAGACTCTTGAGAGTCCCCTGGACTGCAAGGAAAACAAACCTACCAGTTCTGAAGGAAATCAACCCTGGGTGCTCACTGGAAGCTGAGGCTCCAATACTTTGGCCATCTCATGAGAAGACTCCCTGGAAAAGACCCTGATGTTGGGAAAGTGTGAAGACAAGAGGAGAAGGGGACGACAGATGACGAGATGGTTGGACAGTGTCATTGAAGCTAAAAATTCACACTTCTGGCTGAGTACTTCCAGCAGAAAACAATGTTATATGGCCTGGCCATATCCTGATGTTATCCAAATCTGCTTTCTTGGCCAATTCTAGCTTCCCATCCCAGCATTTAAACCTAGATTCGGAATGCTGAATGATCAACATGGAAGTACTCTGCCTGATTACAAGAAAATAAAGAAAAGATGGAAAGAGTTAGCTGAAGACCCATACAGATGGGATAAAGGATGACAGACTCCTTTCAAGAGGAATTTTATGTTGACGAATCTGAAGTTCTACTAGGAGAAGTAAAAGCTGCATTGAAAGAGCTAGGAAAAAATAAACCACCAGAGGTAGATGGAACACCACTAGAACTATTTCAAGCCACAGAGAATGAATTTGTCAAAATCCTAACAACAATATGCCAACAAATATGGAAAACAAAAAATGACCCACAGACTGACAATGATTGATATACATTCCAATCCCCAAGAAAGGAGACACCAAGGAGTGCAATAACTAAGGTGTGCACTGCTCTAATTTCCATGAAAGCAAAGTGATAATCAAGGTGTTTACCATATATGGAGTGTGAAATGCCTGATGTTCAAGATGAATTCTAAAAAGGAAGAGGCACTTGAGATCATATTGCAAATATCTGCTAGCTACTGGAGCACATCAAAGTATTTCAGAAGATCAATCTCTGCTTTATAGACTATAGCAAAGCTTTCAACTGTATAGATCATGATCCCTTCCAACTCTGCCATTTTAAGATCTCATTATTATATTATCATGAAAAACTATGGGTTGTTCTGGAAAAAAAATGATGTGACTCAGCACTTGCTGAGGGCGCATTTTGTCCCCTTATCTGTTCAATCTACATGCAGAACTATCACACGGAAAACCAGACGAGATTCAGGTGAAGGAGGAGAGAAAACTGGTGGAAGAAACATCAGTAATTTAAGATATGCAGATAACACTATCTTGCTAGCAGAAAGCAGCAATGACTTGAAATAACTTTTAAGGAAAGTGAAAGAAGAAAGTGCTAAAGCAGGACTGCAGTTGAACATTAGGACCAAAATTATGGCTACAGAAGAACTACTATAAAATGACACTTTTCCCTAAAATAATTAGAAGAAAAATTGAGGGTCGTTTTATACATGGAAGGAGGCAGTCGCACGAGTGCTTGGGTGCCTCTTGCTGCCGCTGCCACCGCTGCTCAATTACCTCTTCCAGAGCTCACCGCTTGTTCCCTCTGGTGGCCCCGAGGCAACAGCAGGAGGCAGAGACGGAGGTGAAGGAGCATTCATATGCGCTTGGGCGCCTCTTGCTACTGCCTCCCCCGCCCACCCAATCACTACCTCCAGTGGGACTGACGGGATCAGCTCACGTCGCGACCTTGTCCGCTGCGGTGGCAGAGGTGGAAGGCAAACAACCACTTGCACGCACTCGGGCGCCTCTTCCTGCTGCCGCTGCCAGATCATCTCCTCCAGCGATCGATCGTCTCCTTAGGGCAGGGGACAAGGCGGTGACATGAACTGGAGGTGAGGCCCGGCAGTCGCACTAGAGGAAGTGATCGGTCGAGCAGCGGAGACAGCAGCAGCAAGAGATGGAGATGGAGAAGTAGTTGCCCATTAACTGCTCCCCTGCCTCCATCAAGGGTCAAAATTAGGGGGTCGTTTTATACATTGGGGGGTCATATACATGGAAAAATACGGTAGATCTCTAAAAGAATACAAAAAGCAATTTACAGGCAACAAAGGGCACTATGCTAGTCTCACAAAAGTTACCATCTGCTAGGTGCAGAGGTCCTGAAAACACCTGTTTTGTGAGCGCAAAAGGTGCTGTCAAAATCGTCGTCTAGTGAAAATCGGTTTCCAAAGCAGGAACCAAACATTATCCAGCGAAATTCCCCCATAGGAATCACTGTTTTGCGAATCGCTACAGCAATTGCAAAAAGCCAATGCCTAGCGAAAAAAAGGTCATGTGGGGTAACTGTCTAGTGAGGCACCACTGTATTTCCAATTACCATGTATGGGTGTGGCAGCTGGACAGTAAAGAAAGTTGAGAGGGAAAAAAACCTAATTCATTTTAAATGTGGTGCTGGATGAAAGGCTGGGCTGCCAGAAAGACAAACAAGTGGGTTCAATATTCCCTCTAATTTTCAGCCCTGCTGAGTGGCACTTTGCCCCTTGCACATGTGACTCCACCCCCACCCCCCGTATGGGATTTTGTCACAACTGGAACCAAAGGAACTTAAAATGATTACTGTGGGTGCGTGGAGGAGCCCTGCGCAGAGGAGGGCACTGTTATGTGCACCTTCGAAGGTACCTTGAGTGGGTCCTAGATCAAATCAAGCTTGAACTATCTCTGGAGGCAAAAATATTGAAACTGAGGCTGTCTTTGGGTAAATCATGAGAAGCCAAGATTCTCTGCAAAAGACACCAATGCTGAGAAAGGTGGAAGGCATCAGGAAAAGAGGAAGACCAAATACAAGATGGACTGACTCCCTAAAGAAACCACAGGTTTCAGTTTGTAAGAGTTGAAGAGAGGATATTTAGAGATGACTCATTCATAGGGTAATCATAAGTCAGAAGTGTCTTGATGGCATATAACAACATCCCAGACCTAAATGTTTAAATGCTATAAACTATCAACATAACCTCTCATGCCACCCTATAGCATCTCTTCTAAATATGCAGCAGCCTGTTTCCTGGACCAGATGCTCTCACATCAAATAGAATTCAGAATGCACACAAAAATAAGCACACCCTTTATGTGAGCAGGCTGTATCACAACACTTCTTGAGCACTTCCAATATCAGATGATAATAAAATAAAAATACAGTAGGGTCTCTACTTAAGAACTTAATCCGTATTGGAAGGTGGTTCTCAAGTTGAAAAGTTCTTATGTTGAATCTGCATTTCCCATAGGAATGCATTGAAAACCATTTAATCCGTATCTGCTCTTTTCCGTCCATAGAAACTACAGTGGAACCTCTACTTAAGAACTTAATCCGTTTTGGAATGGTGTTCTTAAGTTGAAACGTTCTTAAGTTGAAGCAAAATTTCCCATAGGAATGGACTGAAAACCAATTAATCCGTTCTGGCTGTTTTTTTGTTATGTAGAGGTGCGTTCGTACATTGAAGCATTAGTTCCCATAGGAACTAATGCAAAGCTGGTTAATACGTACTCTACCACTAGGGGGAGAATTTTTTTTTAACCTAAGATGACCTAAGGTTAAAAAAAGAGCAGGAAAGGTTTTTTTTCCTGTTCTTATCTTGGATTTCTGTTCTCAAGTAGAAGCAAAATTTAGCAAATGGAGCTGTTCTTAAGTTGGATTGTTCTTAAGTAGGGACGTTCTTAAGTAGAGACCCCACTGTAATGTGCAAGCAAGTCAATTCTGACTTATGGCAACCATTTTCAGGGGTTTCTAGGTACAGAATACTGAGAAGTGATTTACCAATGTCTTCTTTTGGGGGCATCCTGGGGTTGTGCAGCTTGCCCAAGGCCACACAGATTGGCTCTTCTCCCAGGAGGCACAGTGGGAATCAAACTGCCAACCCCTGGCTCTGCAACTACATACCCAACTCAGTGAGCTATCCAGCCAGCTCCAGCATCCAAAAAAGATAATAATTATTTAAGATTACACAGAATGAAGCTGTTTCTTAACCACAACCTATATTTCTTCCTGGCTATCTGTAAGAAGCAGCTGTGAAAAACTTTTTGAACCAGAAAAACAATCTAAATTTAAAATATTTATTAAGAATAATAAAGCAGTCAGATATTTTGTAAGATTTACAAGAGACAGTAGGCTTTTGATGAGTGAAACTGTTAAATTGGTAAATAAAAATTTGATAAGGACACATATGCTTTAAAACATTGACTCCTATTCCGCTTAAGATGACCATACAACAATAGCTACAATACAGACTCAAATTCAAGAAGTTTCTCTGTCTTCAGTTTATAAGCTCAAACTTTTTAAAATATACAGTATCTTTTACTAAATAGGTTTACTTGCATGTATGTACTGCTCAGTTCAATGCATACTAAACAGGACTCTTAAGTATTTATTTATGCTTTGTTGTTCTGTGTGGTCAAATTGAAATCAACATATAGTAACCCTAACAGAGCTTCCAAGGTGAGATACAGTATCTAAAGAGTGGTTTCACCAGTTTCACTTCCCCAGCGAGTTTTCATGGCTCAGCAGGCATTTGAACCCAGGTCTCCTGCATCCTAGTCCACCACACTATTCACTACACCACACTGGCTATTAATTATTCTTAGGATTGGTCTACTATTTATTTATTTAACTGTGTATACTTAGATTTCTACCATTCTGTCACAGTCCTAAATTAGTCAGAAATTACTCATAGTGATTCTAAAGAACTTGCTTCATAATAAGTTATTACAGGATTTCAGCATCAGGAATGAAAATGCCATTAGAAAAAAAATTAAAATGATAGGTATTTCCTCTGCCTTATCCCTCAGTCCAGTGTGGTGTAGTGGACAGACAGACTCATCATAGGCATCCATCAGTCTCGAGAGACTATGGTAACATGCTCTGAATCTAGGAGTGTCCTCTCCAGTCGAGGAGTGTCCTCTCCAGAGCATGAAGCCCGGGTAAGGTAATATGGAGGATAGGCTGTTACCCAAGCAGCAGATCCCCCCTCTCCACATTGCTGAAATGGTCCAATGGAAAGGCAAGAGCTAATACAACTGGTTCCAGCAATGTCGCAGGAGTTGGCAGAACGACACATGCTGCCTTCGGGACTCCAGCTCCGGATTTTTCCTCGAGGTTAACTCCTGAAGCCTTTTCCATGGGTGGATATAGCCACAAGGCAATGGAGGTTTGAAATTGGAGTTTTCCTTCTCCTAGATGGGCTGCCTTCCATGGCTGACGAGCCCCACCTACAGACAGACTAGGACTCTGGAGAACAGGGTTCCAATCCTCATTCAGCCATGGAAACTGACTGGTGGTGTGGAACTGGCCAAACAACTAATTAAACATGTCATTTACCTTGAAAACCCTGTTAGGGTCACTATCAATCAGTTCTGACTCCACAGCACACAACAGCAACATCAGTCCCTCAGTAAAACAGTACCTTCTTTAACATTTCAGTGAGAAATTATGAAAAACAAAAAACAAAGGGCAAATCAATATATACTTCACTATTCACTATCAAAAGTAATACAATTATAGAGCAATAATGCACTGTTACAAGCATACAAAATAATAGCACATCATACAAATAAAACTGACAGGTTTTTATACACTAATAATGTTGGTACCATACCTTGTCTATGTGGCTACACAACTTAAACCAGGGCCCTAGTAATACCAGTTCAGAAAGCAAAGATGTTTCACAATGGGGAATCTTTTTTTAAAAAAAAAAATTGGAAATACTGTATGTCCATTATATTAAACAGGGCTTCTGCTCAAAGTAACTGTGGACAAGGACAGCAGCCCAACTTTTTCAATAAGGTTCTTGGCCGGTTAAGACCAAAGTTAAGGCTTGAATTGGTTCACTATACAGTATAATGAACCAATAATACTAGGAAATTGGAAACTAATGGCAATG